AAAAAAAAAAAAAAGTTTGCTGCTTGCAAAAAGACATGTAAGTTGGATGCAGTTTCTCATACTGGTATTCTAAGAAAAATGAACATGCAATCCACTAATCTAGCACATTGTGCTTACCTATGTATGACCTAGCAGTTACATGTCAGCTTTTAACATTTAAATCTGTTCCTAAGTCTTGTTAGGAAATTTCTGGGGGGCCTAATGTGGCCCCACATGAACCCTTCCTCTCCTGCTCCCCCTCTTCCTCTCCTCCTAAGACAAAGAACACAAAAGACTTACTTAGCCACTGCTTCCCAAAGTCAAGTCAGAGGACCCTAACTCAAGATAACCGTGAGGGCAAGCTGTGGAATTTGCTCACCCCCTACAGAGGCCCTATTCAAAAGGGATCTCTAACTGCCCCTGGGCATTGCCTCTTTGCACTGCTCAGGTGGTCATCATTGCTTTCAATAAACCTGGTCTGAAGATCTTCCCTCAGGTCTCATCTCTGGGTGCTGCCACTTATACCTTTCAGAAATCATCTGATATTCAGTGGCTAGAAGCTGCCAATAACCAACACCTTCTCATTTTGCTACTACAGATGCTTAACTTACCTTTTGGGGATCTATATGTATCTTTCTTTTGACACATCCATAGGGCATCATCTTCCACATGGGACAGCAAGCCAGCTGTCTTCTCCTTATTCTCTCCACTGTTCACGGGGTCTTGGAACTTTTTAACGGATGGTGATGTTCCAAGCAGACAGCTATCACATTTTGACTTTAATAAACTAAAAGAACAAACAAGAATGAACCGTAGAAAGCACAGAAGGGGATACAAATCATACAAAGATATTTAAATTCAGCATGCGTTGAAATGCAATTTGTGACAGTAAGAACTTTCTTTTTCCTATTGTTTTAATTGCAGTATAATTTAAATAATTTACTCAAGGTCTATTTTGTGTCCTGCCACAATTTTGGAGAAGAAATGGTCTTTATCCTCAAAAAGCTTACATTTGGAGTGGTGGAAATAAGACTCAAACTGATGAAACAGCTAATAAAGCCCCAGAGTATGACTAAGAATCAGAATATCTGTAGAAATAAAAAGTATGCTAAAACAAGACTTGCATATCCAAGATGTTTTCCAAGTACTAAAAATGAACATTGGGGATTAAAATATCACCAGTGTACCTCAAAATGCATTCACGTTTCTCATTTCAATTGTTAGAGTATTTATTATGTACCCAGAGTATGTAGGGAATAGGGCCATAGCGCATGTCTCCATTATGTAAGGACTCTGTTCTTACATAATTTCATTGAAAAGTCAACAAGGCAAACATGGAATAAAAGGCCTTGTAATGAAAATGAACACATGCTTTTTTTCTTTCTTTCTAATAAGTTGTGCTCCCACCATTAGCACATTTCCTCTTATAACATTCTGTTATTTTAGGGAGAAATACCCCGAGGATGTGTTATCTCTCTCACCATTCCACTAGCTAATTCCTTCTAATTTAAGTTCACCACAAATGCCTAACACTTTGATTCTGTCTTCCTCAGGCCCATAAACAATGTACAAATTAAAGTTAAGAAAAGAAAGACTGAGAATCAGGTAGAGGTACCTACTCAAAAAGTAGGATCATAAAAATTAAGATATTTAAATGCCCTTGTAGCAGAAGGTATCTCTAAACAAGAAGTTGAAGGAAGTATTACTAAGCTGATTACTTATTCTAGGTGGCCCCTGACTAGGATTCAAATTATATAAACTTATGTAAATATCATTGATTTGCGCTGACTATACTTTTTCGTAGTTTTTGCTCATATCATAATTTATTAATAAAAACTAAAAAATTAAATGGTTTTATGCTTAAAATGATATAAAAACTATTATATTTACATGGGCATAAGGAAATGTATTATATTTTTATTCTCTCCTTTTTTCTTTTTTTTAAAAAAATTTTACCAGAACACAGAGATCATTTCCTGGTGCAGACCCACCAGTAGATGTGTATCTTAGGTTATAATGTTTCTATTCATGGGGCAGGAAAATAGAGGGAATAAAAGTATCTCACTGTGAATGTTATATAAAATTCACCTTAATCTAGAAGCTCCAAGCTCCAAACCCAGCCAAATTCAACAACTACATCTCTGTTTGTTCTTTGTAGAAAAATTAATGTGAACATTACTTCCCAGAAATTCATTCATTTTCAGCTCAGCAGAATTCCCAATACTAGCCAATGCTGATGGTTCCCAATACTGATTGTTTCCTGCTTCTTACAGCATTTTACACATGCTTTTCTGACCTTTATTCAAAATCCCATCCTGGTAATCCTCCATGTCAACTGGAGACCTGGCTTCTAATTTTTCTAAAGTACAGAAAACTAACTATACAAAAATATTTTTTCTTTCATTTATATTTATTTCCATATTAACCTATTATTATCCTCCCCTACTGTCTCAAAAGAAAATCATGCCTTTTATTGTATTCTTCATACCATTTTGACCTGTGCCGTCTGTGACTGTGGCCTGCCCCAAATTTGTTTTTCCTATAACTTATAAACTCCTTCTCTTAATTGGATTCTTTCCTAGGATTTCAAGTAAAATGAGAACTTCCATCAACAACAGAAACCTAGAACTAAACCCCCAAACTCTTCCCTTTAGTGGGAAAGTATAATAATACTCAGTGTCAGTGAGGATGTGGGGACGAGAGCACTCTATCCTCTGCTGGAGGAGCTGTAAGTCGGTATCATCTTTTTGTGAATTATTCATCAACACAAAATAAAAATGTACCTCCTTCCCAACAATGCTACTTTTAAGAATTTATCCTACAGAATTACATGAACAACAATCTGAAAGTATTTGTCCAAAGATGGGCACTGCAGAATTACTTGTACAAGTGAAAAACTGAAGACAAATATCATTTACAAGGAGAGTGAATAAATTATAGCATATATCCATCATAAAAAACATTATTTAGCCATTAAAAAGAATGAGATAGTTCTTTATGCTGATGTGGAGAAGCTCCATGACATGCTATTAAAATAAAATAAAAGCAATTTGCAATAATAGCATATATAATGTGATCTCATTTTTATGAAAAACAAAAATATAACAAAGTATTTTTAAGGTTCTAGATGAATAAATGCCAAACTAGAAAGGAGAAGTAGAAATAAGGCAGCTGAGGCAGACTTTAATATTTTAACTTCTATACCTTTGAATATTTTAATTTCTTCCAACAGGCATGTACTTTATAATTGAAAAGTAAGCAAATAAAAAACTCTCACCATTTCCCTCTCTTGCCTTCCCCTCTCTGCTGCAAGTCTAGAAAACTAATTTTAATATAGTTACAGGAAATATTTTTTAAAGAACAAGTTAAAAGGTCCTACTCTTTTAAACAATCTTGCTCATTACCCGACCACCCCACAATTGCCTTCTTTCTTCAAACCTTTTCTCCCTAGGAGTTCACAATCCATTATCCTGATTGGTTTCTGTTTAAGGAGGCTTCTACTCAGATTCTTTTACAGGGAACCCTGTTTTCTTCCTCTTAAATGCACACATCACAAAAGATTCTGTCTCTGTCCTTCTCTTCTCCCTTAGCACTTTCTTGATGATCCTTGTCACACCCGTATATCATCAATTATGATTTCTAAATAGATTCCTCTAGGAACTGATTAAGTATCTGATGAAAAGCTGTAAAGAGATGTCTTGTCCTGTCTCCCACGCCACCTCATGCTAAAGCAATGCATAATCTTTATCTTCAAATTACTTCCTCCATCTGTTTCCATTCTCACTTAATGATAACGTCATCC